CCCAGACGTTTAACAGTTGAGAGGCATTTTCTAGAACTTTCATTACTTTCTAATCTTCAAAGAAGCAGAATGGCATAGTGGATGGAGCATGAACTAAATTTTAGGTCAGGAGACCTGGGATCTCGCTACTACTACTGGCTGTGTGGCTTTGGATAAGTTTGGTTTCTTTGTAAAGTGCAGAAAATTTGACAGCTGGTAGACTAATTGTTGAGGATTTCAATGGATAACAAAGTGTCTGACTTGGAGTTATCAAAGAACAGCTAACTCAAAAGAAGTGAAACCCCACTTTCCGCTCATTCCCCAATTTCAGAAATGCTGGTTTCAACACTGCCAGTTGTCACACATACACTCTTACTGGTAAGTGTCATTGAGTCAGTTGTGACTTAGCTGTTGTTAAGTGCCACTGAGTTAGTTCTAACTCCTAATGACCCTGTATAGGGTCTCCAAGGAGCAGCTGGGGGGTTTGAACAGCTGACCTTGCGGTTACCAGTCTCCTGCTTATCCTACAGTACCACACCAAGAGTCCTGCTTTCCAGTTACTACTTACTAATTTTGGGTTATAACTGTATTAACCGAAGTCACAAAGTCTACCTTCCTGTTGTTATTGTTGTTAGGTGCTGGCTAGCGGATTTTGAGTCACAGCAACCCCGAGAGACATAGGAGAACTGCCCTCTCTAGGCTGTCCTGGTGTGATGCTGTAGGATAAACACTGGACCGCAGGTTGGTTTGGACCGGAAGGTCGATGGTTCAAACTCTCCAGTCACTCCTAGGAAACCGCGTACGGGGTGGCTGTGAATTGGAGAGGAGTCAAGAGCAGTGATGACAGTCTTTACAGGGGCAGATCTTCAGGCCTTTCTCCTACGAAGGTGAACTGCTGGGTGAGTTTGAACTGCTACCCTTTCAGTTAGCAGCCAGTTACTTAAGTGCTTTGCCACCAGAGGGCTCCTATAAATAAGGCAGTAGGCTGCTATCAGGAGCCCTAATCACTCAGTTTTTAAGCACTCTGCTGCAAACCAAAAAGATTGGCAGTTCACCTCACCCAGTAGCTCCATAGGAAAACAGACCTGACCTGCTCCTTTATAAAAATCCCAGCCTAGGACATCCTAAGGCAGTTCTACTCTGCTTGGAATTGACCCCACAGCACACAACAGTAACAGGCTGCAACTACACACAAGAGCTTGAGAAAAACGACCCTCCTTCTTCCCTAAAGGGAAGGAGGAAAAAAAAAAAATCATCATATATATATATATATTCAGCATTTATTTTTTTTCTTCACAACCTAGCTGTCTTCTTTATATCCCCTTTTATCCCCTCTACAATACAAGTTCATTCAGTGACTACAAGAGACAGCAAAGTAAGGCCTGCCTTTGGCCAATTTAAAACTGGCTGATTTTAGTTTGAAAAGTATCATCATCATGACTACCCTGTGTTTAGCCATTAAATGAATTGATGACATAATCACACGATCACACAGGACAATTAAAAACCATGTTGTCATTCTAGAGCAGACAAGGCCCCTGCCCACTTGCAGTCACTTCTAATATTAACACTGTTTTCAGGATCTGAATATGTAAATTAAATGCTGCTTAGGTGCCTTTCTCCTACTAGGGGACAACTCACTTTGATAACTGGAAGCTTTATTGATGAAATCAGTCACATGACCCAAAGGATGGGATAGGAACACTATTCTTAAGGCACACACTATATTTTCCCAATTTAAGTATATATTTTATGTGTAAATTCTTAAAAATGCTTTGTACAATAAACAAACAGAAAGATCTATTTAAACAACCAGGTGTCCCTGCACATACTTTAACAGATTAAATACACAGGCATTTACCAAAAGGAAAACACGCTCAGATACTATAAGATCAGTCACTAAAATGGACTGTCTTGATTCTATTCTGATAAAGCTAAAGGTAAGCTAAGAATTCAATTCGCTGTTGAATTATAAATTACTTAGAAATAGTCTTTCAAATGCAAGGACATGGGTGATGAACATTTTACATATTTTTATTAATTCAATATACGAGGGGGCTTTAAAAAGTCCACGGAAAAACTCCTCATAGTTTTCAGCTGCTGGTCAGTTTAAATGTTTAGGTAAAGTGGCCCAGGTTTAAAAACACCCATTTCTACTCAATTTCACCTGCTATTAATGTGTAGTTACAAGAATAAACAGAAGGGTGCAGACGTTGAGTCATTCCAAGTATCAGGTTGGCTGGTTTGACAGTCAAAGGGAAAAGATCTCACCTATGATGCAAAGATGTCTTCGTTCTACATGAGTTCTGTCACCCTAAGGTCACCCTTCAGTACTAGCAATGCTTATTATACTTGGGAATCTCACATGTCTTTTCAGCCATAGTTGTAGTCTTTGAAGAGATTCCTTCAGACAACAATGAAACCATCACAAGAATATTCAAATACTCGGTTCTATAAAACTATACATGCACTGTCCCATGACCAACAACAACAACAAAAAACACATATGAGATTGTGTATCTTTATTTTAAATAATTAAAAAAATAAAAAACAACCTCTTATCTACCCAGTTGGTCATAAAGTAAAAAAGAGAGAGAGAGAGAGAGAGAAATAAAAGGGAACAACTACACCTTCACAAATGTATATGAGGTATGCAACACCATGAGTCATTTCCCACTGCCGTGGAGGCAATAGGGAAACAAACCGAAAGTACAGTGGGGAGCACTACTTATACATTGTTGTTGTTGTTGATGTTGGTACCAGGGCACAGAGAGGACACAGAATTGCCCATAGGGGTTCCTAGGCTGAAATCTTCAGGAGAGCAGGTTGGCAGGGTTTTTTCTCCCAAAGTCACTGGTATATTTGAACCACTGACCTTTTGGTTAGCAGTCAAGTGCTTAACCACTGTAATAAATTGTGTATCTGCATCTATCTGTATTGTTGTTGTTAAGTGCCGTGGAGTCGGTTCCGACCCATAGCGACCCTGAACAGGGTTTCCAAGGCTGTAAATCTTTACGGGAGTATAAAGCCTCATCTTTCTCCCACGGAACAGCTGGTAGTTTCGAAGGTTCGCAGCCCTATTTGTAACCACTACGCTATGAGAGCACCTTTCTGTATATACATTACAAAAAGAGGAGAAAAATCCAAAAACCATCATTTCAATATCTCTAACTCCAACCCAGGACCACAGGGATCATTCTAGTAATTTTCTTTTCCTCATTTGTACCTTCACCAGTAAATCCATTCCTAGGTGTTTATACATGTGAAACAAAAGTTTATGTTCACACACATACACAGACTTTATGTAAATGTTTATAGTATCGTTATAATTGCTCAAACTGGAAGCCACCCAGATTTTCTAACAAGTAAATGGATTAACAAATTGTAGTACATAAAATAGAACACTACTCAACAACAAAAAGGAGCTCTGGTAGCGTAGTGGTTACAAATCGGGCTGCGAACATTAAGGTCAGCGGTTCGAAACTACGAGCCGCTCTGAGGGAGAAAGATGAGGCTTTCTACTCCTGTAAAGATTTACACCCTCGGAAACCCTGTACAGGGTCGCTATGGGTCGGAACCGACTCGACGGCACTTAACAACAACTCAGCAACAAAAAGGAGCAAACTATGATTTATGTATATACAGACAAAGCTTACATGTATTTTACTAAGTGAAAGAAACCAGACCCCAAAGGCTATATATATTGTATGATTTCTTTTATTCTGAAAAAGACAAAAAAAAGCACAAAAGGGATGAAAATCAGATTAGTGGTTGCCAGACTTTAGGAGTGAGAACCAAGGTGCTATAGAATAAGCATTCCACTGCAATATAGCTTTGAACCACAAGGTTGGCGGTTTCAAAGGTACCACCCATATATCACTTAAATACAACAATCACATTCATGCAGTGAATACGAACTGAATGGCACGGTGATGATCTGTATTTCACATATAAAATCTGCATACTTCTCCTTTTAATTACAGTTCCTCAAGACTTAAAAGGATGGTTAAAGTCAATGCCAGTTTGTTACTAAAAAACAAACGTATGAGCACTTTAGAAATGACCACTTATGTATGGACTCTGGTAATGGAGTGGGTGAAGAGTTTGGCTGTTAACCACAAGATCAGAAGTTCAAATCTAGCAGCCACTCCTCAGGAGAAAGATGAGGCTTTCTGCTCCCATAAAGATTTACAGTCTCAGAAACTCTATACAGGGTTGCTAGGAGCTGGAACCAACTCCACGGCACATTCACCCCCACCACTCTTCCTGTTTAAAAAGGGCACTTTTACCAACACAGTAAGAAATATTCAGAAATAAAAACTTTTCAAATGGAAAATGATAAAACACAACCGGTAAGGAAAGTTCTCGAAACTTTTTCTCATTGTTGCCATTATGAAAATCAATCTAATCTGCAGCTTGGTATTATGCCATAAAAAGATGCCAAGTGTTTTCTTTTAGACAGATGTCTAGGTTCCCTCCTTTTTAAAAGAAATTTGGAAAAAATAACCAAATATTAAATTCACCTTAGAAGAACACAATAAAACAAAGATGCCTCACATACCTCACGTTTCACCTAACATAAAAGAGGCTGTTTTTCAAATCAAATAGTTCTTTACAGGATGAAGATTTCCAAATCTAATCTATATTGCTAAAATTACTTGGCTGGTAATAGGATATTTTTATGAAAATTTAAATTTTGTTTCCTAAAACGTAGAAATTCCTTTACTCAATATTGCTTGGAAGTCCTCATTTGTACGGGATGTTTAAAATTCAGGCATTTTTCTTCAGGCAAAGAATCCTGACAGAAGCACAGCAAAAACTTTATAGACTTTCTAGGCATCTGGAAATTGTTATGTGGAACATTAAGTATTTAAATGGTGAGGAAACCATGAAAACATTTTCTGAGGTCAGAATTTCAGGTTAGACTGGACAACTAAAATATGTTAATAATGAGGCACATTAAAATCTAAGTTTGAAAACGAATAAGAATAGTATAATTAAATTTTATTAAGCAATCTTACCTTAATCAAATGACAGAATCTAAACTTTAGTACATCTCTGGTTTCACACTCTCAAAATATACTTGAATCAAAACTTCAGTTTCTTGTCAAATTCCTAGAGAAACAAATGAAAAATCTTTAAGTCCGGTTCAGGATAAGATGGAGTAAGCACACTCCAATGGGTCTTTCTTCAAGAGACTAGGGCTATGAAATCTGGAGAGAATGACTGGATCAGCTACTTGAAACTCTGAAAGCCAACAGCAGCAGGCCGACTGCGTAAGAAAATAAAAACGAGAAGTACCACTGAAGCAGGAATGAGTTTAGTTTCCCCTTCTAGTATCCTCCAGCCTGAACTCAACACAGCCCGAATTTAGAAGTGGACGTCAGCATTTACAGAGCAAGTGACCCCTAGTTCTGGCTTGAGAAGTGGGGAAGGGCTCTCCTAACACTCAGAACAAGTATGCAAGGCCCCTGTTTTTCTTCTTGTTTTCCCTCTTTCTTCTTTGTAGCAGCTGTGGCAGCAGTGGCAGTGAAGGGAGGGAAAACGTCCTCTCTTATGAGACAACCCATGTTTCCAAGAGGTTGTGGCAAATGCCTGGTGGTGGACTGGGCTAAGCTAACCACAAGGACAACAGTTCAAACCTACTAGCCCCTCAACAGGAGAAAGATGAGGCTATCTGCCCTGTAAGATTTAATCTCAGAAACCCTGTGGAGGGAGCAGTTCTACTCTGTCAGAATTGAGTAAGCAGTGGATTTCAGTGGGGTCTTTTTGTTAGTTTGTTTTTATTTCTCTTCTGGTCTTGGCCCCAGATACAGGCACAGTAGCAGGGAGTGCACGTTAAAAACCGATTAAAGCAAGTCCCAACTTTCTGGTCAGAGCTAGCAAAGGCGATATCTAGGAAGCTTTAATGAACAACTTTCTCAAGTTGGCTATGAACTCCTGGGTTACCTCCTGAGTGGCTTATTTGTCAATCGGATCCACAAGCCTATCAACTTTGAGAATGGAATTTGCGGTAGACCATCACCCAAATTCCAGACTAGCCACTGGGGGGCACACGTGTGCTACCGATTCAAATTGCACTGCAACGTTTTGACAATTGAACTGGACTTGAAATCGGAACCTATTTGGGTCAACAGCTTGTTAAACAAATACATCAATATTTACAGACCCAAAGTCCAATAACAAGTTCAAAGTATCCAGAATACATTCCCAAACTACTAGGCAGAGAATGATCATCAACAGATGCCAACACCAAGAAAACAGTAATGCTGGAATTAAATGACAAAACTATGAAAGCAAATAGTATAAAATGCTTCAACAATAGCAAAAATTATTGAAACGAATGGTAAGTTAGGAAAACTCAGAAAACTTATACAATATACAAAGAAGAACCAAAGGTAACTTTGGAAATTAAAAAAATCAGTAACTAAATAAAGCTCACTGGATGAGCTCCAAGGTGGGACAGCAATGACAAAAGAAAGAGCAAGTGAACTTGGTTGTTGTTAAGTGAACTCACTTGTTGTTAAGTGCCGTGGAGTCAGTTCTGACTCACAGTGACCCTGTCTGTAGAGGGTTTCTGAGGAGTGGCTGGTGGGCTTGAACTGCTGATCTTGTGGTAAGCAGTCAAGTGCTTATCCTACAGTGCCACATCAGAACTCTGATGAGTAGAAATTATCCAGTATGACCAACAAAGATAAAAAGACAGGAGAAAACAATAAAAAAGGAGAGTGCCTCAAGTCTAATCTTTGTCACCAGAATCCCGGCAGAAGCAAAGAAAGAATGTGGTGTAGATAAAAATAAATTTAAAACTTATTTTCCAGATTTTGTTAAAGATATAAACTTATAAATTTAATAAGCACAGCAAATCCTCAAACAGAAAAAATACAATGAAATCCAAACCCCAACACATTCTAACCAAAACTTCAGGAAACTGAGAACAAAGAAAAAAAATTGAAAGCAATCAGAATAACACATTACTCATAGAGGAAAAAGAATTCAAATGAATGACTATTTATTTACCTTTAGAAACTATGGAGGCCAGAGGGAAATGGAATGTTTTTAAAGCGCTGAAAGAAAATAACTCTCAAACTAGAATTGTATATCCTTCGGGGATGAAGATAAAGTTAAGATATTCTCAGATGAAAGAAAACTTGGGAGGATGTGTTGACAGCAGAACTACTTTGAAATGATCGCTACAGGAAGTACAAAAATGGGAAATGATACTAGGAGGATAACCTTTAACTTCAGGCACATAAAAAAAGCAACAGAAGTGTTAAATATGTAGCTGAGTAAATAGAATATTCCATTCTTATCTTCTTGAGTTCTTTATATATGTTTGACATTTGAAAGCAAAAAGTTTAACATTGTGTGATATGATACTTTACATGCAAATCTCGTAATACAGCTATATAATACACTGCGGTATATAACTACAATATAAAAGGAAGGGAAAAGGGACTTAGATGTTGGTAAGGTTTCGATGTGTTACTTTAAGTACTAAAATATTGACTCTAAGAAGACTGTAAAAAGCTAAATTCTTATAAACCCTTGTTGTTGTTGTTAAGTGCCATCCAGGCGATTCCGACCCATAGCAAACCTGTATAGGGTTTCCAAGGGAACAGCTGGTGAGCTTGAACCAGTGACCCTGCAGTTCAAACAACTTTGCAGTCTGACTCATTAGCCCATAGCACCATACCAGGACTCCTAGAGCAACATTAAAACAACAATAATAACAAAACCTACAATAAGGTAGTTATTTAATTTATTAACCAATACATTAAAAGGGAATATTTAAAAAAAAAAAAAAAATCAAATAGCCTAAAAGATGGCAGGAAAGAAAAAACAGAAACAAAATATAGAGGCAACAAACAAAAAATTGGTAATATATCAATAAGAACATAAAATGTAAAAGGTCTAAATGAAAAGATAAGACCTCTCTCTCTTTTTTTAAAGAAGTTTTTTCAAACATGATGCAGGTAGTGAGGTCATCACTAGAAGGGGCAATAAGGTAAGAAAAGAGGAAGCCTCTGAAAGAAGCTGGAAAAGGCAAGGGAATGATTCTCCACTAGCATCCAGAAAAGAATGCAGTCCTAGAGACACCTTGATTTTAGCACACCAACTTCAAACCTACAGAACTAGGAGACAATACACATGTGTTGTTTAAAGCTACTAAGTGTGTGGAAATTTGTTACAGCAGCAGTAGAAGACTAATACACTGGTCATAACACAAACCTTTACAAAGTTTTAAAAACTGAAACAGAATTACTGTATTCTTAGGCAAACAGTATATGTTCTAAGGTTTTTTGGCCAACTGCACCTTCCACCAGGAGGGATTTGTGTAAGTGTACTATGTCAACCTTTTCCCACACATTATATGAAAAAATTAGCATAGTGCTCTAGTGGAAAATATCTAATGGGGGAAAAGGGCAAGGTTGGCAAACAAATGTAGAATGTGCATATTATTAACATAAAAATACACCAGGCAATCTAGTCTCACTTCCTAAGGGGGAGGAGGGAGCATCAGCAGCACAAGCCCAAGGTAGATTCCTCTGATGTGGAAGTCAGATACACCTCATCTCTCCAACCTTTTTTTTTTTTTTTTTTGCCAGTTTTGATACCAGCCATCCCTCCCTCCCTTGGCACACTCTACATCTCTATTGGGTTTGATCATTTATTACAATGGCCACAAAGAACTCACAGACAGTACTCAAGACAATGGGACTTACTAAGGAAGTAAGGTTACAAAAGACTCAGGGTACAGTTGTTCAGTCAGGATAGCCTCTCCTCAGCTGTGCCTGCAGGCAGCCCTCTCCCTAATTCCTAATCTCTAGGCTCTAGGCCTTTTGGGTCCCTTGGACCAGACTGGACTCTGTCCTTCTCAGACAAGTGTTATAAAGCTCCTTGTTGTTGTTAAGTGCCATAGAGTCAGTTCTGACTCATAGCGACCCTGTGTGGGGTTCCAAGGAACAGCTGGTGAGCTTGAACTACCAACCTTGCAGTTCAAACAGCTTTGCAGTCTGGTGCATGAACCCATAGCGCCACACCAGGACTCCATTAGCTGTACCAATAAGGGCCTACAGGCACCCCACTCTGCCAGAAACCTCCTGCCTCATCTTTCTTGCTAGGAAGTCCACTGAACCATCTCCAGCTGGTCCCCTGGTTCTGCTACTACTTCTGCTGCTGCCATTTCTCTGCCATCCTCAGACAGCTCTCTCTGTTTCCTGGGTCTAGGAGTCTCCAGCATAGGAATCCTGGGTCCAAAGGATACACTTTGCTCTCATGGTGTAGTGGATTTGACAACTTCCAAACAGTACATAGAAAGAGAAAAGCAGTAACTTCACAATGGAGAAAGCTGGCCAACACTACTCTAACCAAATGACGCTTGTTGTTGTTAGGTCCCATCGAGTTAATACTGACCCACAGTGACTCTATATACAACAGTACCCAGTCCTGTACCAAATTCACAATCGTTGCTACATCTGAGTTCACTGCTGCGGCCACTGTGCCAATCCATCTTGTTGGGGTTCTTCCTCTTTTTCGCCAACTTTCCACTTTGTTGTTGTTACGTGCTGTCGAGTCAGTTCCGACCCATAGTGACCCTGTACAGGGTTTCCGAGGGTGTAAATCCTTACGGGAGTAGAAAGCTTCATCTTTCTCCCGCGGAACAGCTGGTAGTTTCGAACTGCTGACCTTTAGGTTTGCAGCCCGATTCGTAACCACTACGCTACTGTACATAAATCAAGAGGCACTGGTCCCTCCTGTCTATACAAGTGTGAGAGACAAAGTCTAGCCATCCTTACTTCCAACAAGCATTCTGGCTGTACTTCTTCCAACACAGATTGGTTTGTTCTTTTGGCAATCCACGGGACTCCACTCTCCTCCAACACCATAACTGAAATGCATCAATTCTTCTATGATCTTCCTTATTCTCTGTCCAACTTTTCCATACATATGAAGTTATTGAAAATACCACGGCTTGGGTCAAGTGCATCTTAGTCCTCAAATTGACATCTTTGCTGTAGAACACTTTAAAGAGGTCTGGTGCAGCATATTTGTGAAGTGCAATATATTGATTTCTTGACTACTGCTTCCATGAGCACTGATGATTGATCAGA